AATATAATGGAGGATATCCCATAATATTTGATATGCTTTTGATATACTTGTATATATATTGGAAGCGGCCATAATTTTTGCAAATGGCTGTGTATATATATGTGTGTGTGTGTGTGTAAGATCCGTTTATCTATTCACGGTCAGCGGTATACCACTGTATGCATATCATTATAAGTTTTCATTCTGGGCATCGTTCAGATTGTGTTGGAGAATTTACCACGAGGTATGTAGAGAATTAGCGTTTAATATCCTTATGTTTGTAGCGAATGTATTGTAAAGTGATTGTAAATGTTTGAGAACCGTAGGTGAGCTTTTATTGAAGTGTATATGAATCGCAGATGAATGCAGAGAAGTATTTATGTAAACGATCCGGAGTATTACAAGTAAACAACCAAGTTTGAGTTCATCACGAGTGTCCGTGTTTCTCACATAAAGCAGTGCGATGCCACATCAAGTTCTCGTGTGCTTCAATATGGATTTTGATGGTTTTGGTTGGAATTTGTGCATCAAATTTGCTTGAAATCCTTCGTTTATTTGTCTTTCCAAACGATCAAACGATACCGACAGACATATTGCCACTGAATGTTAATGAGTCGTCGACCACAGGTTTCCCGTCAAGTCAAATGCATGTTAATGAGTCGTCGACCACAGGTTTCCCGTCAAGTCAAATGCATGTTAATGAGTCGTTGACCACAGGTATCCCGACAAACCAAGTGTATGTTTATGGTCTATCGAACCAAGGATTTCCGTCAAGTAGAATGCTTAGCTTAAAGTGCATATCACCCCTAAAATGATAAAAAATTGGAGTAATCTACAAGGATCCATTAAACCATTCTCATGGTCAGAATTTGATTCTAAACAATTCTTAATTTTTTACAGATTTTTAAATATTTTTTGGCCCCGCCCTGGCCGGGATTTTTGGGTCTGGGACGAGCTACCGAAAATGACGACAAGATAGGTACCCTTGACCTGTCAAACACTAAGAACACTGACTTGACGAGAACCAGGCACACGCGCAGATCTAAAATATTTGACCTCTTTGAAGTTTCGTTGTTTTAACTGTTCTTATTTATGGCATTACTATCAGTCTTCTGATTCTAAATTGAGATATAACTGGATGAATGTGAATACAGTTCTATTCCTGGAGTTGTAAAGTTTTCAATAGCTTATTAAGCAAAGAGGACCAGAGTTCGAGAGCACAGAATAATAAGTCTTAAAATGCGAGGACGAGTAATTTCACATCATGGATATGTTTGAGGACGGGCCGGCCTAGAAGCGAACCGCTTGACAGGCGAAAATGTTTTAAAGTTTACATCATAAAGAAGAACAGTGTAAATTAATTGGACAAGAACAGGTTTTTAATAGTTTCTCTGAATTTGTCCAGCTTTTGACTTGTAATCATTCGAGACTTATACTGTTTACGATTGATATATATATATTTTTTATCGATTATATAAGTCTATTATCTTGAAATATACCTCCAATAAAATAAAATCTGGTACTCTCTTGAGATTTTGAGGTTTTGCTTAGAATCGTTCGAATTTTTGGAGTTCTTAGAGCGTTTTTATTTCTTGAATTGAGTGAGCGTCGACAAACTACGATTATATTGCCATAATCAAAGTACGAGTGCTAACAGAATCGCTTAAACTCAGTTGAACAAAATAATCTTATTTTCGATCGCTAAAGAGAAGGCTTTTCAAAGAAATCCTACAAAAAATATCGACTCCCAAACGAATAAAATATGTGTGCGGACGGCATGTTCGTGACCGTCACAAGGTTGACGGCGGTATAGAACAGTCATACGAAAATTGGATTAGCTCAGTAATTAGTACGCAAGCTCCGATACCTATCTTAACGTCACAGATTACTCTCGTCCTCAGATCACTTTTTCACGTCCACCCTGACACAGGATGCCCAAATTCGCACCTTTAAGCCTCAATATCTCGCCCAGGAATTATCCAATCGACCTCATATGTATATCATTTGAAAGCTGCTGATGCCTAGAATATGATAAAAGTGGTTTGATTTTAGGGGTGATATGCACTTAACCACGAATGGTCGGATTGGAATTACAGTCAAGATGAAGAAAACCAAAGGTTGCCAAGTAAAATTTTTATTGAAACCCGATCAAGGGATATCAGTGCTTTACCAGACATCGAAGGTGTTCTGTCCGAGAGGGTACGGAGTCTCAAGAAGTCATACAGTGCCTATAAAGGACATTTAACAAGGTTATACGGAGAACTAGAGAGAGCGATGAGCTCATTAGATGTCAACGCTGTGGTACAATGGAAGAGAAACAAGGAATCAGCTTATGACAATCTTACACAGACGTATGAGAAGATCATGGAGATGATATCGCCCGTAGAGCAAGATAATCTACGAGAAGGATATGCAGCGGAGGGATTAAGGAGGAACAAATACTTGTTGAAACACGGACAATGGTTGGTATCTATAGGCAAAGCGCCGACGGCGAAGACACCCTTACAGAAGAAGGATCAGGCAGCGATCCCGGTATCCAATGTGCAAGTATCTAACTCCCCTTTAAGCAAGCGTCAAGTCGCAGAGGAATTTGAAAGGAATAAGAGTAAAAGCGTCGTGTCCAAGGGAAGCATGTCTTCGGTTTCGAGGAGCTCAAGGAAGTCCAAGTTGAGTAACGTTTCAGCCAGAGCCAAGCTAGAAAAGGCTCAGTTAAGATTGCAGCGCCTCGACGAAAGGAAGGAGCTGGAGAAGAGATTAGAGGAACTCAGGATAAAAACCGAGATAGAGGAAGCAGAGATAGATGTTCGTCTAGCAGCAGATGTGGACAAAGAAGGCAGTGACGAAGGAAGCTGCAGAGTATCCTTAGTGCTTCCAAGACAAAGTACCCACGCATGAGTGCACAAGTATCCTTAAGATTGCTCAGTCGAATCTTACGCCAAACTTCCTTATCCATCGTCCCTGACACAGACAAAAAGGCTGTACGACGATGATAACAGATAATCCTTTAAGTGCTTTCCCAGCGCGAACAACAACAAGAAGGACCAAAGCCCGAGGGAACAGGAGAGTGGGCAGTGGTGGGAAGGCAAGATGTGTGATTCCAAGATCAAGAACGATGGCATTAAAGGCACGAGCGAAACTGAATTCCACGTTTATTCCAAGTTACCTCCCGGCACATTTCGTGAGCAAGAGTCGTCGAGAATTGGGGTTGAAAGGGGAAACGGCAGTGTCGACAATGGTATGGATGATGTTTGTGACGTGCTGAAGAAACAGCAAGAGACAATGGACGAAATGGTAGGAAGCTTGAGTATGCCAAAGAGAGGATCTTTCATTCCATGGTTTTCCTCTTCATCCATTTCTTCGCTCTCTTGTTGTGGTACGATGAGTTTCAATTTCTTTGATTTTAAAGACATCCGGTGAATAGAATTGCAGTCATTACAGCAGTAAAACATGCAGTTTCTCTGTGTTCTGTAAACTAGCAGGGAACGTGCTCGTACAAATGTCACACCGGGCAACCTCGTTCATGTTCCTTGAGTAGTGACCTTCATGCCAATGACAAGTTGGGCACCGAACTATAAAAATCTTTGAAAAATGCCGGGGTTCTTGACAAACGTGACACTTGTCGTTTTGCTCCTGTTCAAGATAATCCAATTCCTCGTCCATACTTCCTCCTTCCTCTTCATCCTCCTCCTCCTGCTCATCATCATCCTCGTCATCATCTTCACCATCTTCGTCATCAACGGTATTTACTTCCTCCTGCTCTTCTTCGTTTTCTTGGTCATCAGTTGACTGACTTTCAGTCTCACTCTCATCCGTGTCTTCATCTTCCGGTTGCGTAGCAACAAGATCTACCAACAATTTCTGATTGCCGATGAGATGTTTGTTAATCCCAAGTTCTGCCAATCCATTGGTAAACGTTTTTAAACCTCTAGGTGTTCTGACATCTGGGCTGTAAGGCAGTAAAGCATACTTGATCAACTCTATCATGTTGGTTAATGGATTTCTTCGTTGATGAAAAGTCATTTCTCCATGTGAATTCCAATACAAAATGTCCTTAGAAGCGGCCATGCTGTGAAGTAAATTTAGAGCCATCTCCCTCGGTAGTTTTTTAGGAAGCTGTCGAACATGTGTTGGCTAAAATCCACGCCAGGTTTTTATTCAAACTATTGATTGCATATTACACCTATTTTCAAAATTACGCGACCTGTGTAGAATTTACAAAGCACGAGAATTTCGCAAAAACAAGCCGTTTTCATGTTTCATTGACGGCAGCCAAAACCCAGAAAACGAGACGAGTCGTGAGGAGCGCCGGTCACGTAATTGTGAAAATAGGTGTAACGTGTTATAGTGAAGGCATTTAACCCGTGATTTTTTAAAAATTCTTCAACAATCATTAATACTTCTGTTCGGCTTTAGGGAAACCAACAAATCTAAAATTGCAGGTGTCCTTGAGTCCATGCCAGAACTCATACAAGAAGCCACTATTATTTTCATTTCGATTTTCAAAATCAACAAGGTTTGATGTACATTTTAAGCTATGATGTGTCTGGCACCTCAGAGTCCCTTTAATTATTAGATGCCTTCTATTAGCATTTCTATCGCGTCTTACAAGTGTCAGGTCTACCAAAATGTGTGTATTATCACTGTTTTACCTTAAACAATTATTGGATGGGGTTGAGAAAATCCGGTTGATTATGACATAATGATACATGACATGCCAACCAGTGATGCAAGTCCACTAGTCAGGGACTAGTAAGTCTTTCCTTCAGGCTTGTGAAAATTAGGACTCACTAGTCCATTATTACAGAGTTAAATTATTTATCAAATTACAAAGTTTGTATGGATGAAAATTGGAGTATTTAAAAAAATACCTCTATAATAAATGGTCAATAATTGGAGGTTTTCATGGACTTTATTCCGCTCTAAACATACAACAACGAAGAACGAGCACGAGGCGTCGTCACGTGATCCATCACTAGTTCCAGGTTACTACATTCCTCCCCCCTTACTTAACACAGTCAATGTCACTGAAAACGACCTGGAGGTCTACGCTCCCTGGTTGGATAACGGCGTTCCACTACAGGATCGGGAGTACTTTCCACTTGAGCCGGGGTCGGTTCTGTAACTTCGGCAACTTTAGGTTCCTTGGGTTGTTCTTGGCGTGGCAGGAGTTGATCATGGTGTCTTCTAACAACTGTGCCATCTTCTAATTCTATTTCACCAGATACTGGTCCTGTTTCTTTGATGATTGTGCCTGGTAGCCATTTGGGTGATCCCGAGTAGTTGCGTGCCAGCACTTTGTCATCTTCAGCTAGGGCTCTTGCTCGCGCATGCTTGTCATGTTGTTTGATCATCTCTTCCTGAGCCTTTTCCACTTTCTTATCGATGCTCGGTCGAAGTAAATCTAAATGCGATCGTACCCTTCTACCCCATCGTAGCCACATGGGTGTCTCTCCGGTGGTGGACTGTGGAGTGTTGCGGTAGCTGAAAAGGAAACGTGACAGTTTTGTTTGCACAGTTCCATCGCGTTGTTTCCTCATCCCTTGTTTGAATGTCTGCACTGCGCGTTCCACTAATCCATTAGTAGATGGGTGGTAAGGCGACGACGTAACGTGCTTAATTCCGTTTTTCTCGGTGAAAACACGGAATTCTTGGCTAGTGAATACTGTGCCRTTGTCGGATACGATCATCTCTGGTAGACCGTGCGTAGCAAAGGCGATTCTCAGTTTCTCGACGGTTGATGCTGTGGTAGGTGAGTTGACGATATGGACATCCAACCACTTTGAGTGAGCATCGATGACTAACAGAAACATGCTTCCCAAAAATGGTCCTGCATAGTCAATATGTATTCTGGACCAAGGCCTAGTAGGCCATTCCCATGGATGGAGGGGTGCTTTCACTGGATTCTTCTGATGAGCTTGACATGTTCCACATTCTTTCGCTGCCTTTTCCAAAGCATTATCAAGCTTAGGCCACCACACGTAATTCCTTGCGAGACTCTTCATCCTCGAGATTCCAAGGTGGTTCTCGTGTAATACTTTAAGTATTTCCTCTCTCCCCCGTGGTGGGACAATAACTCTAGATCCCCATAGGAGACATCCCGCATGKAGACTTAACTCMTCCTTTCTTGTRAAATAAGGTTTWAGATCRTCGTCATCAACATKTYCAGGCCATCCATATTGAACATACTTCAGTACTCGTGACAAGACTGGGTCACGAGCAGTCCATTGCTTAATCTTCGTTGCATTGACAGGACTGGTGTTAATGGTTTCCATGAGGTTGACGACCTCAGCAGGAATTGGTGTCGTCTCRGGCTCTACCGATAGTGGTAATCTACTAAGCGCGTCGGCRTTACCATTTTCTTCTCCTCGTCGGTAGACCAGATCGTACTCATAAGCAGAGAGTGCGAGTGCCCATCTTTGCACTCTTCCAGAAGCCATCGGTGGTACCGCTTTATGTGAGCTTAACAAACCCRGTAGTGGTTTGTGGTCGGTGTAAATCTTGAAATGTCGRCCATACAAAAATTGGTGGAACTTTTTTACTGCAAATACAACTGCCAACGCCTCTTTGTCTACTTGGGCGTAGTTCTTCTCTGCTTTGGATAGCGTTCTYGAAGCATAGGCCACGGGTTTCTCCGAACCATCCTCCATAACATGCGCAATGACGGCGCCAAGTCCGTAAGGCGAAGCGTCACAAGAAAGCACTAACTCTTTGGACGGGTCATAATGAACGAGTAAACGTGACGATTGTAACAGTTMCTTAGCGGTTACAAAAGCTTCCTGTTGTTTCTCTGCCCACTTCCATGCTTGGTTTTTACGTAGAAGCACGTGCAACGGTTCTAATGTGGATGCCAGGTTCGGAAGAAACTTTCCATAAGAGTTAATCATGCCCAGAAATGATTTGAGTTCTGAGACATTCTTGGGTGCAGGGGCGTCTTGGACCGTTTTTACTTTCGCTTCAACCGGGTGGAATCCATCGGCGTCTATTCGATGACCCAAGCACTCTAGTGATGGTTTCATAAAGTTACACTTCTTCTCTTTCAGCCGTAGACCTGCATCGGAAAGACGCTTCAAGGTTTCGTCGATATTCTTCAAGTGTTCGTCCTCAGTACGTCCAGTAATGAGAATATTATCTAGAAACACTGCTACAAATGGAATACCCTGTAAAAGAGTTTCCATAGTCCTCTGGAAAATCCCAGGTGCGGATGAGACTCCATAGGGTAGGCGGTTATACCTGTAGAGGCCTTTGTGTGTGTTGATCGTTACGTACTGCTTGGAACCTTCATCCAATAACATCTGCTCATAGGCGTGGCTAAGGTCCAACTCTGTGAAAGTCTTTCCTCCGGCAAGCTTGGTATAGAGGTCATCAATCTTAGGAATCGGGTAGGCGTCTAATGTTGACACTCTATTGACAGTGAGTTTGTAGTCACCGCAAATTCTAATTGAGCCGTCAGACTTCATCACTGGTACGATGGGCGTGGCCCAGTCGGAATACTGTACAGACTCAATGGTGCCGGCTTGTACCAGTCTCTCAAGTTCTTGTTCAATCTTCTCACGAAGCGCATAAGGTACTGGTCTCGCTCTGTGAAACTCTGGTTTCGTATTGGCGTTTACATGGATGTTCGCTTTCTTCCCATTTAAGGTACCAAGTCCCTCTTCGAACAACTGTGGGTAGCGGTTGATAACGTCTTCAAGCTTTGTGTCCTGCGACAACTGTTTGACTTTTGGCCAATCGATCTGTATTTCCTGTAGCCAGTCTCGACCAAGGAGGGCTGGGCCTTTTCCTTCAACAACATACAGGGGTAATWTTTTACTTTGCTTCCCATGGGAGACCATAACTTCCACCTTCCCCTTGGGTTCCACTTTCTCCCCGGTGTAGGTCTGTAATATGACGTTTGTCTTTTTCAGGGCAGGTCGATCCTCCCCTCCCCACAATGATTCGTATATTTTCTGGCTAATGATAGTTAAAGAGGCTCCTGTGTCAATTTCCATTTGCAAGGACTTCCCATTCAATGCAAGATTTGCTTCATAGGGTGGAGAGCGACTGTTCTTTATTGTATAAAATGGGTATGGGTCTGTCGCCTCCCCCTCGTCAGAGTTCCCTGTCTCATCAAGCATGTGGTGGGTACCCTGTGGTCTTTGTGGCTTGTTGGGGTTTCCTTTACTTCGACAAGCACGGGAAACGTGACCACTCTTCCCACAAGAATAACATTTGGCATTTTTGTGATAGCAAGCACTAGATTCGTGGGGCCCATTGCAATGGTAGCATTGCTTCTCATTGTTAGGCGCGGGCTTCCTGTGGTTTCTCGGTTTGGCGCCATCATGAAACTTGTTTACCTTTGCTTGATTCGCATTTTCTTCGCTTTTAGATGCTATATTTAAATCTACAGCATTCTTTTCTGCCGTCTCTATGGCCATTGCCAGTTCTAGGGCTCGCTTAAGGGTTAATTTGGGCTCAGCGAGAAGGCGTTTCTGAATTTTTTCATTGGAAGCACCACATACTAAACGATCACGCAACATTTCGTCTAATGTCGGGCCAAATTCACAATACTGCGAAAGGTTTCTTAGTTCAGCTAAGAATGCTGAGATAGACTCACCGCTCTCCTGGTGTTTCTTGTTAAACTTGAATCGCTGAACAATAACAGAAGGTTTAGGCTTGTAGTACTCCTGTACTAACTTCGTCAGGTCGTCGAAACTCTTGTCTTTCGGATGATTCGGGGCGACTAAATTACGGATGAGCTTATACGTTTTTGCTCCAACGGTTGCCAGAAAAATTGCTTTCTGTTTGTCTGCATGTGCGATTTCGTTGGCTTCAAAATAATGGTGTAGTCGTTCGACATAATTACTCCAATCTTTGGTCTCGTCATATTCCTCGATTTTTCCAAACGTTGTCATGGCTTTTGCACTCACAGGCTCAGGAGTTGACTTCTCTTGACGTTAGGTCAATGATCTTCGCTTTTTCCTCGTCGCCAGTATAATAAATGGTCAATAATTGGAGGTTTTCATGGACTTTATTCCGCTCTAAACATACAACAACGAAGAACGAGCACGAGGCGTCGTCACGTGAT